TCATGGTCAGAGAACATTGTTTATATGGTAACAATCCTTGAGGTTCACTTTATAACCTAGCAAACACATGGTTAATATCCAAAGTTCTTCTAATTTCTGCTTGAAAAGAACATGTAGTCTCTAAAACCTATATGCAGTGCTTTATATATATCTACTAGAATAAGCTTAATGGGGCTCCTTTTTTGTTTGCTTAATCTATTATTCACTTTTAAAAGTATGTTAAAAATTCCCTATTCTACTGGACACTTATCTTTGGTTCCTGTCAAATGTTGCTTACATTTTGAAGCTATATTATTCAGTGTATGCAAGTTTAAACTTGTTCAACCTTCTGGATCTTTTAGCATTATGTAGTGACACTTATTTCACTGAGATTTATTTTCTTTAAGGTTTTCATTGATATTAATATAGTTACAACAGCTTATATTAGTATTTGTTTATCTCTTTATCTTTCAGTTAGAGTTTTCTTTATTCTGACTTTTTGTCTGTTTTAAAATTTTAGATTCAGGGGGTAACTATATATATATATATATATATATATATATATGAAATGGAGCCTCGCTGTGTTGCCCAGGCTGGAGTGCCTTGGTGCCATCTCTGCTCACCGTAGCCTCTGCCTTCTGGGTTCAAGTGATTTTCCTGGCTTGGCTTCCCTAGTAGCTGGGATCATAGGTGACTGCCACCATGCCCCACTCGTTTTTGCATTTTTAAGTTTAATTGACAAACTTGGTCCATCCATATTTGTTATTATTTCTTTTTTAAATGTTTTAACTTTATTACATTATGACTTTCCATTTGTCCCACTTTAACAGTTTTCCTCTTGGTTTCTTTCTTTCCTTCTTTTGGGTTAATGGTTTTCTTCTTTTTGTTTTCTTTTTAGTTTTTTTCTTCTATTTGTTTGGAAGTTACATAGTCAAACCAATGTTTTTCAATCAATTTTCTTAACTATGTTAACACTCACACTTATGTAGTCTAAGGTTTATCAATATATTATCTTTCTACTAAAAAATACAAAAACTTTCATGCTTCAATTGTGATCACCCTTCTTCTAATCTGTAAACTGTAAAAGTATTTCATTTCAAGTTTGTTTTTCAACAAAGGACATTATTAATTTTGTTTTATTCTATTGTTGATGTTGCTTAATTTTATTTAAAGGTTTGCCAGTATCTTTGTTCACTGTCCCTTCTTGAATCTCAGACTTTTATTTGTAACCATTTTCATTCTACTTGAAACACATGCTTTCCTCCAATCTGGGTCCTAAACTCCATACATTTGTCAGCTTGACAAAAACACAGTTCAAACAGGTGACAAATTCTACTTAGAATTTCTCTTCCTTTTTTTTTTCTCTCAGAACAGTAAAGACATTCTTCTTCTGTCTTCTGGATTGTATTTTTATTGTTGAAGAGTCACTAGTAAGTCTAATTTTTGTTTTTTTCCAAGTATGTATGATTTGCCTGTTTTGTTTTCTGAAAAAGAATTGCTTTTAAGATCTCTTTTCTTTGGTATACTTCAGTTTCTCTGTGTCTGGGTGAGAGTTTCTTTTTATTTATCATACTTTAGATCTGTTGGTTTTTTTTATCTTCCAACAGTGCTGCTAACCCCTCAGCTACTAATTTTTAAATACTATTTAATATTTTGACATTATCTTCCATGTCTTAACTACCTCCTCAACATATTTTCCAATTCTTTATCTTTGAACTGCATTCTAGATAATTTATTCAGATCTAGTAGTTCACTTACTCTTTTTTTTCCCTGAGATAAAGTCTTGCTCAGTCGCCTAGAGCTGGAGTGCAATGGCAAGATCTTGGCTCACTGCAACCTCCGCCTCTTGGGTTCCAGCAATTCTGCCTCAGCCTCCTGAGTAGCTGGGATTACAGGCATGCGCCACCACACCTGGCTAATTTTTTTTGTATTCAGACGGTGTTTCACCATGTTGGCCAGGCTGGTCTCGGACTCCTGACCTCATGATCTGCCTGCCTTGGCCTCCCAAGGTGCTGGATTGCAGGCATGAGCCACCATGCCCAGTCTACTCACTCTTGAATAGTCAAATATACTATTTAATCCATTCACGGAGTTTTAAAATTTTTAATTAGTACATTTTTATTACTGGCAGTTATTTTTTAATCTACCTGATATTTTCAGTTTGTTTTCCTCTGCTCCTAGTTTTAATCACTTCTTTTCAACTATTACAAAATCTTTCTGGAGAATTTTTTTTGCTTATTTTCTTTTGGTGCCTTGTTTGCACATATGTTTTGTAACTTTTGGCTGTGGGTTGCTAATTTTCTGTGGAACTTTATCTGTGGTGGATTATTTGAGGCCTGGGGAAAAGGATTTGAGTCTACTTCTACCACCCTCCTTGACACTTTAAATTTTCTGCTCTAGGTTTTTCACATCATCTGGGTAGTGTAAATTCAGATGGAAAACATAAATAAAGATAAGCTTTTGTTTTCCTTTTCTGTGTGACAATACTTAGACCTGCAAAATAATGGAAAAGATAAAGTTGTGGATAAAGCTAAAGCAATACTTAGAAGATGTATAGTCTAAATTGTTGCATTAGAAAATAAAAAGGGCTTTATATGACTAAGCTAAGCATGCAAAGAGTTAGAAAATTAAGAGCAAAATAAATCCAAAGAAGGGGTGAAAGGGCACAAATCAATGATATAGAAAATAAACACACAACAGAGTATCAATAAAATAAAAGTTGATTATTTGAAGATACCTATTAAAGATAGACAAGAAATGTCTGGTAAGATTTTTCCAGAAAAAGAAAAAATATACACCCCAAATATATAAGAGATGACAGCCAGATGTGGGGCTCATGCCTGTAATCCCAGCACTTTGGGAGGCTGAGACAGGTACATTGCTTGAGCTCAGGAGTTAGAGATCAGTCTAGGCAACATGGCAAAACCCTGACTCTACAAAAAATACAAAAATTAGCTGAATGTGGTGGCACACACCTGTGGTCCCAGCTACTTGGGAGGCTGAGGTGGGAGAATTGCTAGAGCCCAGGGAAGTTGAGGCTGCAGTGAGCCATATTGATGCCACTGTACTCCAGCCTGGGTGATAGAGTAAGACCTTGTCTCAAGAAAATGAAAAAAGAGAGAGAGAGAGAGATGAAGATGAAGATATAATTACTGATGCAATAAAGAATAATTAAATGGAAAAGAGGATGCCATGAACATTAAACCAACAGTTTTGAAACATACATGAAATGTATATATTATCAGAAAAATATAATTCACCAAAATTAACACTGCTTTAGTCTGGCAGTAGAAAAGATGCTGATATAGTTCTTTAACCTAAAAACAAATTAAATATGTAGTTTAAGATTTTACCTCAAAAATATCACCAAGTGTAGATGGTTCTACAGGTGTGTTCTACCTAATGATCAAAGAATGGATCACTTTATTTACATACAAATCCTTCTAGAGAATAGAAGAAAGTATTATCACTAACTAAGGAGATTAGCAGTACTCTAATGCAAAAAACAGACAAGGCAGAAGAAAGGAGAATCACAGGCCAGTCTCATTATTGCTTATAAACATAGATATAAGAATTCTAAACAAAATGTTAGCAAAGCATATCCTCCAATAGAAAGATAATATCAGGTTGGGTAGTTCCAGGAAGGAAATGTTGAATAATACTAGACAATTTTCTGGAAATAACAGATTAGGTAAATTATAACAAAATACAAAGATAACTAGACAGATAGACAAGTTGCTCTGTATACACACACACACACACACACACACACACACACATTTAAAGCATTAGAGAATGAGTGAGCTAACAAGATAGTGAAAAATCACTGAGGCAACATCTGGAAAGTATTAACCTACTTTTCCCTGGGTAGCAGGTGGATTTGCTGACCACTGAAGAAGCTTCTGAAGGCTGAGCAGTGCTGTGCACCTAGTGCAAAGCTAGGGTGACAGGTCAAGTCCAGAGCCCCATGAAGTGTGTACCTATTTGTGGGGGAGTATTGGTCAACTCCTCATGCTTTGGGTTGGGCTGCATGTAAGAAGCAAGGGTATGTAAGAAGAAAGGCAGGAAAACTAGGCCAAATGTGCATTTCAGCCCAGCTTCAAATCCTCTCAGGTACTGAAAATGGAATTAAGTTATCTAGTACTGTGAGGGTCCCAGGCTCTGGGCAGAAGCCAACATAAATCCTCTCTGAGAAAGCTATCATCCCCCTAGGATTCAAATGATTCTACATGTTTTCAAGTTTAATGAGTGGCATGCAATAAAAAATAATCCGGCAAACACAGAGAAAAGGCATGACGACATGCTTGAGAACTGATATACATAACAAAAATAGAAACAGAGCCTTAAGTGATTACAAAAACACAGAGGCGCTGTAGCTCACCAATATGCAATTTACTGATTAAATCATTAGGACTTGCCAATTCATAAAAAGATGAAAAGCATGGAGACCTGTATTTATGAGGGAGGAAGTAAATAATTGTAGTTTATGAGAGAGGGTTTGCATATTTGTAAGTAGTTTAGTAATACATGAATCTTTGTATATCTTTTTGTATTCTTTCCTTATGATGCATTCTTTCCTGAAAGTGTTTTAAAGTAACATCTAGAGCCATCAATGTGGATTGATTTAAGCTTTCATCTGGTGAAAATTAGGGAATTAGGCTTTGGATGGCTCCTCCAGCAATAACACCAGAGAAAAGCATACGTCATAATTTAAATGTTTCGTAAGGGATCTAAACTGGCAGAGTATACTACAGTGTTCTTTCTCTTTTATGCATTATATTGCTGAAGCTATTGGCCTTACCAATAGCTTTTCCAAAGGATGGTGTTTACTGCTGAGTATTAGACAGGATTGTGCCCCAATTCTTGAGTGGAGGAGAAAAGATTGCTATTTTCAGTTGCTCTTTATAGGGGAGATGTAAGGCACAATTAACTTTTAAAAAAATAAATGGGGTTAGTTTTTACAAGACATAGTTTTCCAAGTTTTAACTAAAGTCCTCTGACCAATTTTTCTCCTTTTGCAGAACAAACATGTTGATTATGTGGATGTAGGTGGAGCCTACGTGGGACCAACTCAAAACAGAATATTACGCTTGGCTAAGGAGCTTGGCATAGAGACTTATAAAGTGAATGTCTGTGAGCGTCTCGTTCAATATGTCAAGGTAAGGCTGCCTTTTCACACAAGTGACTGACAGGGAAACTTTTTTTTTTTGAGAAAACATTTGGTTTGTTTTATTTTTCTTTCAAAGCAATTGTAAAAATAGGCTCTTGACTTTAAAATAGTAGTTTGCCTTTCTTTTCTTGTTTTCTTTTTCTTTTGAAAAGATCACTAAAGACTCCTGGAATCACTACAGGATATTATGATTCACCTTGGCCTTCCTCCCTGTCACTCTCAGTGGCCCTCACAAGCTACCCTCACTCCCAGAGAGTAGGAATGGGAGGCTCTGGCTTCCCTGCTAATGCATTTGAAGGGCACAGGGGTGGGGGTAGCAGGTGCCTGCAACAGATATGTTCACATACCCATACATGCATACCCCCCTCCCCCAGCTGCAGGCAATCCCTGAGTGACCTAGGAAGCAACTCTGGAGCCCCAAGGAACACAAGCGTTTGAGGCCACTTCTTTAGCCTTTGAACTAGTTATTCATTCTCATTCTTACCTGGCATTTCTTGGAATACTTTATTTCCTCTGTACCTGGCCTTCACTCCTGGGGAGTCTAGCTCCTTTGTGCAGTTTCCTACTGTTTAAAAAAGAGATTGTTTAAACTCTAGCCACTGGTATCTGCCGCTGTTGTCAGTGTTTTTCTTTCTCACTGAAGCCAAACATGGAGTGGCTGGAGTCTGGAAACATGCCTTGAGAAATCAAATTTCCCACCTGACATTGTAGCCTACTTGTTTTTGTTCTTTTCTTTTTACCTTTAAGCTCTGTTGGACTTGAAAATCAGTAGTCTTTAGAAAAACTGTGGGTTCAGAGGTCAAGGGAGAAATAAAGTATAAAAAATTTCACAAAGTACTTAGGAACTCTGGCTACAACAGGCCCTGATCAAAAAAGAAAAACCCCTCTGCTTCCTCATTTTTTCTGCACTGCATAGAGTCTCCATGGACTAGTAAGTAATAACAACTGTAAGAATAATAGTAGCTAACATTTATTAAGCACTTTTACCTATATTCTCACATTTAATGGAGGGAGAGAGACCAAACGCTTTGCACTCAGCTACTAATTAAACAGTCATGTAAATTCACTTTCCACTCCAACTGGGAAGCAAATGAGTGTGATGATTATCTTGGAATCTGAGCAGACTCATGCTGATAAGATTCAGGGGCTGAGAGATTTTTAGTTTACCTGGAGGCTAACAATAAACAACTCAAGGCTTTTTATGCATGAACTCATTAAATCCTTACATCCACCCTGCTAGGCAGGCATGATCATCCCAGTTTACTTATGAGAAATCAGAAGTTCAAAGAGGTTAAAGTGACTTGACAAGGCTATAAAACTCTTAACAGTCTACCTACCCCCTGAGTGCATGCTCTTTATTATCCCAATATATGGCCTAGGAAATGAAACTGAGGGCTCTGAATGGACATGTGCTGGGCCTCCAGTGTTTGTTCAGCCACGCACACACATCTATGGTAAGGTATCTCACCATCAGTATCATTGAAGCCTGGCTCTTTTGATGAGTAGATGCAGTCCTTTAAAGACCACTTATTTTTTTCTACTTTGTTACTCTTCTTCCAGTTTTATGTTCTTTTTATGTAGATTTTAAAAACTGGGGAAAACTGGAAATTTATAAGTACGTTCTCAAACTAGGTACCTGCTAGTCTCCCAGCCATGCCCACTCTAAAACTTTATATTGGGCTGGGTGTAGTGGCTCACATCTGTAATCCCAGCCTTTGAGAGGCCAAGGTGGGAGGGTCATCTGAGGCCAGGAGTTCTAGACTAGCCTGGGCAACATAGTGGGACCTCTTCTCTGTGAAAAATAAAAAAATTAGCTGGGCATGGTGGTACACATGTCCTGTAGTCCCAGCTACTTGGGAGGCTGAGGCAAAAGGATGGCTTGAGCCCAGAAGGTCGTGGTTACAGTGAGCCTTGATCATGCCACTGCACTTCAGCCTGGGCAACAGAGCAAGACCCTGCCTCAAAAGTACAAATAAAAAATAAAAAAAATAAAACATGATGCTTAGGTGATAGTTTGAAAGTGGCACCCATAGCCAGCTTTTGTAAGTAATTTAGCTCCTCATTGTTTTTGATGGAGGTAAGATGGGATTAAAATGATAAAGTTCTGTTTAAGAATTTTTACTTTGCCTGAAAGTGATCAGCAGATCATGGCATGCTGTCCAGTCTTCCTACCAGCACCTTACAAATTACGTATCTTAAGTGTCAGACTTTCTGATGTCTCTGAAATTTTCTGGGCTTTACTGGGAACCCTGCTTTCTAGAAATCCAGATGTATTTGTTCTATACTTTGAGAAGGTCCTTCTGCAGGCTTTAATGGTGGATAAGTTCATGGAAAGACTTAAGGAGATGATGCATGCTACATTAGGTGCCTAAATAAGGAAAGAGAAATGTTAAGAGTAGCATCCAAGGTCCCTTTTTGGCTTTCGTTGCTGCTGCTGAGTTCTGCTCTAAGGTTAGGTTCATACTACCCTGATAGTCCTGTTCCTAAGGGAAAAAACAACTTCAGCTTTTTGGAGGGGAGAACTGCTCAACTTCTACCATATTTTTCTTTCACAAAAATGCAAATATGGCTGAACTATTGCATAACCTACTAGACAAAGGCACCTTGCCGTGGCATTGGACTTGGTAGCTCGAGGCTGCTTTCAAGAATGTAAAGCAGAAAATAAAAATAAAAACAAAAACGGAAAAAGAAAAACAAACAAGAATGTAAGGCATTGTTAACCTCTGGATCTTTACCATTGCATGGCCATGCACATCAACACAATGGTAATATTAGACCAGAATTATTGCATATACAGCACATGGCAGACGTGTGCTAAAACACATACTGTGCCTACACTTTGGACAACAAATGGCACCTTTAAATCACAGCCACTGTGGTTGATCCCTCAAGGTCAGTACCACTCCCACAGTAATAATAATGAAGACTGTCCCTGCTGAGCTGGTAGTATGTCCCAGGTCCTGTGCCAGCGCCTTCACAGGACCTTAACCCTCACAGGGATACTAAGTTAGGGGTTATAGCACCATTTCACAGAGTCTGAAGTTCAGAGGGCCAGTAACCTGTCTAAGAGAGTAAAGGTCACTGAGCTGGAATTCAGATTAAGGTCTTTTGACTTTTCCATGATGTCTCTTGCTAATCTAGATTCTACTGTCAGGGACCGTGGACTCCAGGAAGCTGCCTTTCAGTTTGTGCTTGTCCGGGCTCTTTTTGGCACCTCTCTTCTGATAGTCATCCTATGTCCTTCACTGTTTCCCCATATGCAGTGCTGGTGACCACTTTGCTCAATCTTTTGGCCTGGAAGCCTGAGAGAGCAGGGTTAACTCCCTGCTATAATATAGTCACTGTGCCTTGGTTATTGTTTGATGGATGCAGTAACTGGAAAACAGCCATTTAATTGCCACAGAAAATAAATGTTGAAGCTCTGTTTTAAATTGTATTACTTATTTACAAGTAACTATACATTTCAGATGGTAAGCATCATTCTTTTCATTTAATACTTAATCTCATCAGATGAAAAGAAGGAAAATAGAAATATATATCATTAAATCATCTTCTCACATACTTTAACCTTTCAGAGAACACATATTTTCAGCCAAGGTAGACAGCAATGTTAAGGCAAAAAAGTAGTGGGTTGGTTAAACTTCAGTTTATTTGATCTGAATGAGTGCCTTTTTGCTAGTGTTTTCTAATAAATCATATCATTTCTGGAATGAGAAGTAATCGTTGTAGTAGATGTTTTTATGATGATCAGGAAACTGTAATAGGGAAAAGCAGGAAGATATTTAGTTCAGTATTCCAGATAAGATGATTAACAAATTGTATACTAAAAATAACTACTTATTTTAAAAATATCTCAACTCTCACTGTTTTTCTCCACTTCTACGGGAACGTGGGTGTTTCCCCAACATGATAGTGTATTGGGTTAATAATGCAAATTGTCTTTGTGACACTTTCTGCATTGCTTTGTGACAACTTTAGCCTTCATAATCTAATACAGTCAATAGCCTTTCCTATAAATAACACTGAAATGAAGTGGAAGATTGCCGTTGTCTAGATAAACTAATAAATATTCTTTATGGCCCAGATTGCTTCAGCTCTAAAATTTTCCCAGTGTAAAACCTTAAAGAATGTTTAAATTGTTTAAACACTGTCAGCAGTCTGTAACACATCTAGTCTCAGCTTATTCTAGGATGACTTTTACTGTTCACCAAGGGACTACTCATTACTTTTGTTAGATTATGTTTACAGTACAAGTTTTGATAAGATAGTGTGCGGTTTCAAGCCTAAGCCTCTTAGGTAAATACTGAGGGTACACCTTAGTGGTGTTTCCTCTACCCAATCCCTTCCTTCCCTGAGACTATGCCTGTCTACTTCATTTAGAGGACTAACATCAATATGCTAAATTCATTCATTGCTTAATATTTATATTTACATATTTGATAAATGTATAAGTATTTACAGAGCAAAATCTACTCTGAATTAGATGTTGTTCCAGGCTGCAGATAGAGTGGTGGACAAATGATCAAAATTTCTGCCCTGATAGTCCTTCTAATCTAAAGAGAGAAGACAAGTAAACGAGAACAGTAAATAAATATTAGCTAACATTTTTGTCTGGATTCTTCATGGATCTTGTGAATAGAATCCCTCTTCTAATTCTGATTTAGTAGATTCTGATTCTTTTATATTATTTTGAGAAGTCTTGCTCTGTCACCTAGGCTGGACTGCAGCGGTGCAATCTTGGCTCACTGTAACCTCCGCCTTCCGAGTTCAAGTGATTCTTCTGCTTCAGCTTCCCAAGTAGCTAGGACTACAGGCATGTGCCACCATGCCCAGCTAATTTTTGTGTTTTTAGTAGAGATGGGGTTCTACTATAGCCAGGCTGGTCTTGAACTCCTGACCTTGTGATCCGCCCACCTCGGCCTCCCAAAGTGCTGGGATTACAGCTGTAAGCCACTGCGCCTGGCCTAGATCCTGATTCTTACATAATAG